CCCCCTGGGGCCCTGGCCACCATCCCTGCCCACCCTGTCCCATCCCTGGCCACCATCCCTGGCCACCCGGGTCCCTGGCCACTGTCCCTTCCCACCCCATGTCCCCAGCCACCGACCCTGTCCCATCCCTGGCCACTCCATCCCATCCTTGGCCACCATCCCCCTGGGTCCCTGGCCACCATCCCTGCCTGCTCCGTCCTGGTCCCTGGCCACCATCTTTGGCCAATCCATCCCATCCGTGGCCACCAACCCTGCCCACTCTGTTCCCCCCAGGTCCCCTGGCCACCATCCCTGGCCACCCCACCCCATCCTTGGCCACCATCCCTGCCCACCCTGTCCCATCCCTGGCCACCATCCCTGGCCACCCGGGTCCCTGGCCACTGTCCCTTCCCACCCCATGTTCCCCAGGTCCCCGGCCACCGACCCTGTCCCATCCCTGGCCACCAATCCTTGGCCAAACCATCTCATCCCTGGCCACCATCCCCCTGGGTCCCTGGCCACCGTCTCTGCCTGCCCCGTCCCATCCCCAGCCACCAGCTTTGGCCATTCCATCCCATCCGTGGCCACCATCACCACCCACTCTGTCCCCGTGGCCACCATCCCTGCCCACCCCATCCCAGTCCAAAGCCAGGGACCTTTGCTGGCCCCTACGCCCCCCACTGTCCCCAGGGCACCGTCCCCTGGTCCCCAGCCCATCTCCAAGCCCTCTCTCCTCCCTGGACCAGGATGTTCCTCCAGGAACGGCCGTGTCTCCTGTCCCAGGAGCCAAACCCGACCCCGTGGATGGAGCTCCTGGGGATGGAGGGGGGACACGTCCCCGGGTCACCCCGGGCCGTACCGGGCAGAAGTAGGAGTTGTCGGTGATGGACTTGGCCACGGCGTGGTTGCTGGCCGACATGGCCATGATGAGGAGCAGGGCGTCCCTGGCCTGTTGGCCCAGCACGCCCTCGTGGTGGATGAAGGGGATGAGGAGGGAGAAGATGATGAGGTTGGCGGGGCCTTGGTCGGCCGGGCTGTGGAAGAAGAGCTCCAGGACGGCGGGTTCCTTGGCCACCGAGACGCAGAGCTGGTTGAGGAGCAGGACCAGGCTGTTCTCCAGGGGGGGGGAGGTGGGCTCGGCGCAGAGGCTCAGCAGCCGCAGCAGCGGCGTCAGCACCGGCTTGTGCCGCAGCAGGGGCTGCCGGGCCTGGCTGATGAGCATCTCGTAGAGCTTCAGCTGCTCCACCTGGAACCAGAGAACGGGCTGGGAACGGACCTTACGGACCACCCGGTTCCACCCAGGGACACCTCCCACCAGAGCAGGGTGCTCCAAGCCCCCTCCAACCTGCCCTTGAACCCCTCCAGGGATGGGGCAGCCACAGCTTCTCTGGGCAACCTGGGCCAGGCTCTCAACCCATCCATCCATCTACCCATCTCCCCATCCATCCACCCATCTTCCCATACATCTCCCAATCCATCCATCCACTCCTCCATCCATCCCTCTCCCCAGCCATCCGTCTCCCCAGCAACCTCCCCATCCATCCATCCATCCATCCATCCATCCATCCATCCATCCATCCATCCATCCATCCATCCATCCATCCATCCATCTCCCCATCCATCCACCCATCTCCCCATCCATCTCCCAATCCATCCATCCATCCACTCATCCATCTCCCAATCCATCCATCCACTCATCCATCTCCCAAGCCATCCATCCATCCATCTCCCCATCCATCCATCCATCCACTCGTCTTCCCATCCAGCCGGCCCTCTCCCCAGCCATCCACTCATCCATCCACCTCCCCATCTATCTCCCAATCCATCCATCCACTCCTCCATCTCCCAACCCATCCATCCACTACTCCATCCATCCATCTCTCCAGTCATCCCTCTCCCCAGCCACCTCCCCATCCATCCATCCATTTATCCATCTCCCCATCTATCTCCCAATCCATCCATCCACCCCATCCATCTCCCCATCCATCCCTCTCCCCATCCATCTGTCTCCCCAGCCACCTCCCCATCCATCCATTTATCCATCTCCCCATCTATCTCCCAATCCATCCATCTCCCCATCCCTCCATCCATCCCTCTCCTCATCCATCCAACCATCCATCCATCCCCCCATCTATCCATCCATCCACTCCTCCATCTATCCACCCCATCCATCTCCCCATCCATCCACTCATCTCCCCATCCAGCCGTCCCTCTCCCCAGCCATCCACTCATCCATCCACCTCCCCATCCATCTCCCCATCCATCCATCCACTCCTCCATCTCCCAATCCATCCATCCACTCCTCCATCCATCCCTCTCCCCAGCCATCCGTCTCCCCAGCAACCTCCCCACCCATCCATCCATCCATCCACCCACCCTTCTCCTGGCGTTAGTGCACAGGCAGGGTTCCTTACAGGGGGTTATCCCCACCAAGGCAGAGAGGCAGGGACACAGCTCCCAGGCCAGTTTGGAGAAGAAGGTG